ATGAGGGCAACAAATGTATAGATGTGCTTTACACAATTGATCTATGTATTGTGATGAATTGTATGAGCCCCAATAAATTGATGTAAAAAACAAACAAAACAAGTATCCTACCTTTTTGTTTGGGGATGAGGGAGAAACAATTGGAGCACTAGGCTCCTAGCTCTAGTAAATGGTTAATCGCTGAAGCCTCTGTCTGAGAGGCCAGTCAAATTAGATCTTAGTAAGCTTGAAAGGAAACATCACTTGACTGGGCTGCAAGGCCATATGACGAACAGCTGAGACTCATTAGCTGGATTGTGGCTTTATTTGCAGATGCCTGATTGGAAAGTTGGTAGAGTGAGCCGCTCTTGAAAAGAGTCTTTTGAAAAAGTGATGTACTTAGGCGATTCTGACTTTAACATTTCTCTTGGTAGTAGACAAAGAGTGACTTTCTTGAAGAGGACATGTGAGTGGAAGTCTCTTTGCTGAAGTGTTGGGAACTCAAATCTCCGAAGCTTCTGAGAAACAAGTACTCACCTTAATCAAGGTATAGTGTTTGCATTTATTTTATTTTTCTCCTAGAGATTTTGAACTCTGCCTTGCCAGTTCTCAAGTACTTAAACTGTGTAGAATTTAACATAAAACACCAGTACATGTATTAACTTTTTTAAAATAAAAGACTTTCAGACATCTGCTAAATTTCTTGGGATGAGTTTGAGAAGCACCTGTTCAGTGATCAGTGTGACTGTACTGGTTGCATTCATCCTTTTTTTCTCTTTTAATACCATTTTTACAAAAATAAGGTTTCATTCTGGAATAATATGTTGAATAAGATAACATAGTAAGGAATTAATTATTCTGGGAATCTTGCTCATGCTTAAATATTCATATTTATTGGGGTTTTATTTATTTACTTTTTGGATAATTTTATTGAGGGCTCTTGTAATTCTTATTACAATCCATACTTGAATTGTATCAGGCATATTTGTACATATGGTGCCATCATTCTTTTCCAGACAAGTACTTTCTATTGAGCCCTTGGTATCAGCTCCTCTTTCCCCCCCTCCCCCACCCTTGTGATCTCTTGATAGATTATAAATTATTATTATTTTCATATCTCACACCGACCACTGTCTTTCTTCCCCCATGGTTTCCATTGTTCTTCCCCCTGGAGGAGTGTGTGTGTGTGGTTGTGTGTCCATCATTATGATCGGTTCCTGCTTCCTCCCCCATCCCCTCTACCCATCTAGTATCTCTATTCCCATCCCTGCTCCTGGGTTGAGTGTGTCTCTTACCTATCTGTACCTGTGTGCATGCTCTGGTCTAGTCTGAAGTGAGAGGCATCACTGCGGTCATGGTAGTTGGTGGGTGGGTGAGGAAGCCTCAAGGAACCAGAGGAATATTGTGTGTTTCATCGGTGCTTTACTGTGCCCTGGTTGACTCATCTCTTCCTTGGGACCCCTCTGTGGGGGATGTTCCATTCTCTACAGATGGGGTTTGGGTGTCTGCTCCGACCCTCCTCGTTCTCAACATACGGTTTTATTTGTTTGTTTGTTTGTTAAGGGTCTTCTGATGACTGTTACCTGGTCCCGATGACACCTCATGATGCACAGGCTGGTGTGCTTCTTCCATGTGGGCTTGTTATTTCTCTGCTGGATGACCGCTTGTTTCACTTCAAGGGGCTTTATTTTTGATATTGCTAATAGCTTGAATGGTGGAAAACCTTATGGAAGTACACATTTCAGTGCAATGAATATTTTTATGGGAGTTAAAATTGTCTTCCAGTTATTTGGTTTAGGTTTGATAAGGCTATTGTGGCTATGAAAAGGAAAGGTCTGGGTACTTTAGAGATGTACAGAGTGACTTATGCAAGCATGAAATATCTCAGTGATGAGCATGGTGGTAGGCTGCCTTGTCCAATGATGGGAACTTTGGGGTATGTTGAAAGTATTTCATACCACAAGTGCATGCAATACATATTTGTTCAGCCAATTGTCTGGACTGCCGGGTGTTGAGTGTGTGAAAATGCGTAAGACTTGATCCAATGCCCACTGCCCCATTGTTTAGTCAGATGTGTGTATGTGATTACTTTTCTCTCCCACTGATCTTTGGCCAGTGTTTTGGTTGGGTGGCCCTGAGGACACAATCAAGACCCTAGCACATGGGCAGACTCATACCCTTTGAGAGGCTCCCTCTTTTCTGAACACCCCCAAGCTTAGACTCAGAGAGCAGAAGGAACTGAAAGGTCATCTAGTCCAACCTCCTCATGTTTCGGATGAGGAGAGGACCCTTAAAAGTACCACAGTCGTTGCCTGATGAGGGCCAAGGCCTAGGCAGCCCGTGAGCATCCTGGATTGCACTCTAAGCTGCTGACCAGTAAAGACATCGCTTTGGTTTCTGTGCTTAGGGTTCATGCTTTTTACCAAGTAGTGGACCCAGAGCCTCACGATCAGAAATCACTATGGAAAGAGCCTTGATTTTTTTTGTTGTTGTTTTAAACTGACATTTTCTGAAGAGATTCTCCAATGATGAGTACCCTTCCTTACCCCCAAGAGTTTTGGCGAGGGGTGCTCAGTCACGAAGGCATTGTGGCCATAGAATGTATTTAATAAATTCAGCTGTGTTTAATAAATCTCAAAGATGTTTACTCCCATTGCCATGGCTTTGACTGTCTCGTACTGCTTTGATTGTCCTTCACTCATCCAGGCATAGTTTTCAGTGATCATGCAGCCGTGAAACTACAGGTAACATTTTTTCTATTGTCTTGTTACTGCTGCTGTCTGAGGCAGTGACTGTGAGCTGTTGACTGAGCTGTGGCAGAAAGGAAGCGCTGATGAAACCGTGCCCACTAGCCAAGACACCATGGCAACCATCGCCTGCACATCTTAGCAGGTCCTGGGGCCCAGGGCTCCCCCAGGTGCTCTTCCAGCTCTCCCGCGTCCTCTCTCAGGCCTGGCTACCTGCGTGCCCAAAGAGGAAATGGTCACCACTTCCCTTTGTTTCTTTCTTCCTTTCCTCCTCATTTAGACAGGAGTCAGGATTAAAGTTGTCCCGCCCTTTGCATTCCCTCCTCCCTCCTGCTAAAGTTGGTCGTTTGAGAGCCAGAGTGCAGGGTACAACCTACGTGATAGCTGACGAGTCATGCAAAGCCCATTAAGAAGAAAAGTGGACTACTGAGGGCTTCATCATAATTTGTGCTGCCACTGCTAGAGGATACTTAACTGCTCCCCTCTGGGCTCCTGGCTTCAACTGCATGGCTGGGAGTCAGCCCTCTCCACCGAGCTGAGCTCCCATGATGGGCTGGTTCAGTGGAGAGAGTGAAGTTTGAAAGATGGATCAGATGTTGGTTGCTTAGAGCTGGAGGACTAGAGCGTTGCTTAAGCATGGACATAATCAAACTGTCAAGAGCTGTAGGCAAACATTTTTTTTGTTTTCCTTATCATCCCAGTTTCATATGTTTTCAGTCTTTTCTTTAATGTCATTTATTTTTGTTTTTGTTCCTTGTTTCTGTTGGGTTTCCCAGTCTGGGAAGCACAGAAGGTATGGTGGCATCTCCATTCTCACTGTCAAGGAGCATTCTGGCCGGACTTGAAGGCAGATTTGCTCATTCACCTGGCTGCCCATGGTATATCCAGCATTCTTGGCCAGCACCATAATTCAACTGCACCCGGTTTTCAGTCTCCTTAGTCACTGTCCAGCAGCTCTTCCTCTTTATTTGCTGGGGAGGAGAAGGGAAGGAAACTTGTGATGTAAGCATCCCTCTAGGGGTAGCATTTTCATCATAGTTAAACTGATATTCTTAGTCTTTTTATACACTCGGTTTGTGATGTTCATGGTCTAAGTCTGTTTCAAACAGCCAGTTTATTTCAGGTACTGGTTAGTATATTTGGGGTTCCTTTGTTATTTTAAAAGTTTTAGTTCGCAGCCAGCCTTCAGCTCAATTTTCAGACAAGCACAGACTAGTCTGTAAGGGGGAACAATAACACTAGTGAGAAATTCACATTTTAGAATACTCAACCAGTTGAGTGCATTTACCCGGGGGAACGTTTAGAAAGGCAAAGGAAGCAGGAGAAATGGAAGCAGGAAACACGGGAGGAAGGAAGAGAAGTGATGTTACATGGATGGGATTGCAGCCAATGAGATGAGACAAAATGTGTGTGAATTGCTGGGTGTCAAACTGATCGTCTGCACTGTAAACCATCACCTAACTCACCATAAAACGTTTCGTGTTTTCAAAATTTCAGTTCATGTAATAAAAAGTGTCATTATGGACCAGGACCCCTAAAGTGTGCTGTCTGGCCTACCTACAACTTGTGGTAGAGATGAAAGCAAAATAACACAAAAAACACCAAAAGCAAACTTGAGGTTTATGCCTACGTATTCTTACTTGAGTAGTCTAGAGACTCGTCTCAACAGAAGAGATGGAAAAGAAACCAAGTTAAGCTAATTTTGAGAAGCGAGCAAAGTGACTAACTAGCGGACACGGTTTAGTGTAAGCGAACTCCTTTCTTCTGAGGTCTTGGCGTGTCATTTCAGAATGCCAGTTGTAAAAGAGGGCATTATTTCCAGGAGCGTTCGCGAGGCAGAGACGGCGTGTGAAGGAAGATGGTGGTGTGCCTGGGCAGAGGGTGTTTTCATGAACATGTCGTCAGGTGGCTGGTGTGTGATAAAGAGCGAGGTCTGAGTTTCAGATGTGGGGAGATGCCTCGGAGAAGACTCCCAGGAGGAGAGGATGCAGGGGAGGCACAGGGGTACCCATCTGACTTCGCCGACTTTTCCCTTTACGTCGTCCTCCCAAATAAAGTACCTTTTACACCAAGGGAGGACACTTGCAAATGAAGTTTCCTCAGAACTGCCCGATACGGGATGGCCCATCATGTCCCCCGTGACTTGGGTTGGCTGCTCATGCCTTGCCTTGGTCCTCAGGGTCATGCTGAGCCAACAGTGTGCTCCCTCCTCGGTGGGTCACACAGTCCCTGCCTTTAGTTTGGACTCTCACTTGTTGGTTCCTCTGCCTCTTTCCCAAGGACAGAGCTAGAGGGGGTGGGGGTGGGGTGGGTAGGAGACGGGATTGTTTTCAAGCATCTGTCTGTGGCTGGCTTCCCTGGCCTCTGACTCTCAACCTGCCCCAATACAATACGTTCTCATTCCCATGGTGACTTAGTTTGGGCTCTTATCTTGAAGATCCTGAAGGGAGAGGGGATAAAGGGACAGCTGCCACCATATTCCTATTATTATTATATATAATATATATAGTACAAAAAACATGCCCTCAGTAAAATATTGTCTTCACTTAGGCATGTCTGGCTTAAGTGCTCAAATTGGCTGCTCAAATGCTTGGGAGGCAAATGCCTCTTGTGCTGTGGAGGTGATCGAGCTGCAAGTTTGTTTTCACCCAGAACTGGCTTCAGGAAGTCCGGCTTTGACCGGCTCTTTTACAAACAAAAAATCCCAGTATCTAATTTGAACTTCTGACTACGCTTTCTCCTTTATTTACCTGGTGCTGGACAGATGAACTCCATTTGGGCCTTTTTCTCTCTGTGACCC